TAGCTGGGTCTTTTTGCTAGATTCTGCCATGAATCTCTGTAAAGGTCTTTAAATTCCATTCATTTCCATTCCAGTCGAAGACCTTGCTTGTTCTCTCTAGTTTAGAAAAGCAATGCCTTTTAAGCTCTCCTCCCCTCAGAGGTACTGTACACGACTCCACCTGCAGGTATAATAATTGTGGACGATTTTACCTTCAGCTGTAATAAATGCTAATTATTACCATTTGCAACTTGATTATTATACACTCTTCTCCTCCTCAATATGTACAGTAGCGTTACCATTAATACACATGCATTTTTTGTGTGTGCTGTATCAAAAAGGAGGCCATTTTCAGTGTGATGAGCTGAGCACTTTGAAACTATGTTTCTAAACTTTAACTTTGAGATGCTACTAATCAAACATACACAGGTCTCATTCTTCTTTAAACGTGCATTGTTAAATTACAGCAGTTTAAATCTTTGTTTACATGCTGTTTCTTCATATCACCGTAGAAAGGTCTACAACAGATTTCAATACAAAATACTTACTGTATGTTCCATCACTCAGCTTTTGACTGCCCTTACCATGATAAATATTAAATTGATGGCTTTTGGCCTTTACACAAAGTCTGATAAACATGCTAACATTTAGATTCACAGAAAAATAAAAAAAAATGCCCAGTGTAGATCAGGGCTTCTACCTTGGTAAAATGAAGTAGTGAATAAATAATAAGCCACATGAATCAAAGGACATATTCAAAAACACAGTTGTCACGAACAACGTACTGTACGTTATTTTTATCAGATGTCTGCAGCTAAACACACAGCAGATTTAAGCAATCCCTAGTAATTCGGGAGCTGTTATTCCACCAAATGTAATACACCCCAAAAAGGAAAATCCCATTATTTACTTATAAACACTATCAAAATAGTGGCAGGCTTATTTATGAGAGCCATGTTGAGACACCATGGTAGCTATTTGCTAGCAGGAGGCTTTTTCTGTACTAAAACCCCGGCATTAGTGAGGCCCACACCCCCAGATAGACTCAAGTTCCACAGCCCTGATTGTATTTGACACAATAATCATCATCATACATTGAGGCTGAAATCAATTTGACAGCAACCAACTCAGGACTGCTTTTTCCAATTATCCTATTACAGGTCCACTTCATGTTGGGGAAAATAAGTTTATTTTTTCCATTTCTGCTCAGACACAAAACAAGGAAGGTGCAGCACCTCAGAATACAAAACTCGACACATGAAGCTACTGTAGTCAGAAAGCCAGTGCTGCACAGATTCATGAGGGGAGTAAGATCAGTACAAGAAACATTTCTCTTCCAGCTATTAAAACAGCTGTGCTATAATCCAGAAATCACGGATAATACAACTGTAAAACATTAGCATAAAGTGAAAAGTAATCAGTAAACATTTATTATTAATCTAAAGACAATGGATGGAAATATTATCCTCCTTTTTTATATGTACAAACACATGTTTATCTACACTGTTGTGGTCACCGTTACCCCACAAGAAATTTGGCAGAGAGGCACTCTGGGTCTGGAGTGGCCATCGCCAGATATGGAAACATATGTCAGAGGGAAGACGGCAGCCATATCGCTCTGCAACTCACAACTGGCAGCCAACTGGAGCCAAGCAGGTGTGAGCCTGGCCAGTACCTGGATGGAAGACCTCCTGGGAAAAACCAAGGATGCTGCTGGTGTTAGTGGGGCCAGCAGGGGGCGCTCACCCTGCAGTCTGTGTGGGTCCTAATGCCCCAGTATAGTGATGGGGACACTACTCTGTAAAAGGGCACCGTCCTTCAGATGAGACATAAAACTGAGGCCCTGGCTCTCTGTGGTCATTAAAAATCCCAGGGCGTTTCTTGAAAAGAGAAGGGGTACTACCCTTGCGTCCTGGCCAAATTTCCCATTGGCCCTTACCAATTATGGCCTCCTTATAATCCTGATCTATGTACTGGCTTCATCAATTTGTTCTCCTCCCCAGGAGAGCTGGTGTGAGGGGAGCCTTCTGGTGCACTATGGCTGCTGTCACATCATCCAGGTGGGGCTGCACACTGGCGGTGGTGGAGTGGAGTCCCCATTACCTGTAGTATGCTACAGTATATAAGTGTAAGGAATTATTATTATTAAGATGAGGGCACCTGGGGACCTACTCATTTCCCTCAGAGAAAGGAACATCCGAGGAGTCTTGAGCTTTGTTCAAACTCTAAAAATATTCAGCATGAACATCAGTTCTCAGCTTCTTGGGCTTAAATGACATTAAAGTTGTTTCTCTGCACTCTGGTGTGTTCAAGTCTTTAAAAAATAACCTCACACCACAATACATACTCATACAGCTTATATTGCATATATTGTACAGTATATGTAGGTTTAAATCTACACATTACTGTATCAAGGTAAATACATTTCCAGACCAAGCAATTTCAGAAGCCTGCTAAAGTGCCTTCAAATGCTTAGGCTACTTCTGTTAACTGTACTTTAGCTCCTCAGACACAGATTGTACCTGAAACAAGAAGTCAAGAAGCGAAGAGGGAAAACCCTACTAGGGAACACTGACTGGTTTCGACAGAATGCTTCTTTCCTTTCCACTGCACTGGCCTCATGTATATGCAGCACTGAAGGACTCCCATTGCTGGATTGTGATTCTAATACATCACAGTATTTATAAGGGAGGCTGGCAGGGATTTTTTATATCCATCCATTTTCTAACCATTTTATCCAGTGCAGGGTTTCGGGGGAGCCGGAGCACATCCGAGTAAGCAACGGGAGCAAGACGAGAGACACCCTGGATGGGACACCAGTCCACTGCAGGACACATTGAAACAAACATAGACATGAGCACACTGGGGCCATGTTCCCCAGAAGCCAGTTAACCTACCAGCGTGTCCTTGGACTGTGGGGAACAAAGGAGCACTCAGAGGAAACCCACATGAACAAGTCCAGAACTGAACACCACCCAGACTTTTTTACAGTATATGCTGCAAGACATTTCTGTCACCTCAGATTTTAGCACTGTGACACGGCAAAATGAAAACTGATTGAACAAGCATTATCTATCATACAGGGTCCTTTTACAGCTTCACTCCACTGATAACAGCTCTTAAGATCTGAGGCTCAGCACACTCTGCTTCAGAATGAAATGCGGTAGGAACCATACACTATTTTTACTTTATTCTGTAACTTTTCAACAAAGGCACCAACAAATATGTTAATCTATTGGCCAGGCAGAGCTGTAGCATACTGTATTTTGGTGCAAATGACTAAACACAGGGCTCTAAGGAACTGCTTATGATAAGAATCGAAAGATTTTGCTTATAATATTGTTTCACACACAGGATCATCTCTAGTTCACTCTTCCCAATGACCATGTCCACTTGATTATTTCAAGCTGTCATTTTTAATTAAGAGCACTTTTGGAATGGGTATGAAGTAATGATGACTGATGCTCCAAGTGGATACTCAGGCATACTGCAAAATCAAGGGCACTGCTTTAACACAACATTCCCCAGGGACTTCAGTTTTTAACTCACACCCATTTCTGCATGTACTGTAAATCTAACACACTGCCCACCTGAATCCTATACAGCACGTCTGTGCTATGTACAATCGAAAGTCATCGTTTTGACTAGATTCGCACATTTATCCTGTGATATTCAAGTTTGAACCTGGCATTTTTTATTAGCAAAGATGATTCTAAAAGACTGCAGGATGTTTTGGAATGAAGTCATCCTTTTTGGCAGGTGAAGTCATTCTTGTAAAGCTGACAAAGTCCAAGGATAGCTGAATGAACGTAAACGCCAATTACAGTTCCAAAAAAAATGGTTTCCTTCCATACAGAAGTTTAAAGATTCAGGTCGTTTTTTATTCCTTAACATTTCAGAAGAAAAACTATTGTGCTGTTAAAAAGAAATACTGCAAAATCAAGACAAGAATCACCCGCGGCATCATTGACACTGAATACCATCTGTTTTAATGAACAACTTTGTACGCAGCAAACATTCAAAGAGATGAATATCACTGAATAAAACCAGATAACATCCTGCTGTATATGAGTTTCTGAGAGAATCTAAAGCAGCAATTTATTGTTTGCTGTGTCTGCAATTTTGTTTGTTCAAAGTGTGGTTTCAGAATAAAGTTATCAGTTATAAAATAGATTATTTTACCCAAGGAGAAACATGGTACAATGCCTGTGGCATAGCAGCTTCAAGGGTATTTTCCCCGTGTAAAAGCCTTTCCACAAGCAACTCATTTACACTGCTATGAGACAGAAATGACTTTCCTAGGATAGAATCGATTTAGCAATCCTGATGTAGAGTGTTCCCCCAGTCAATCTGCTGGGTATCCCTCTAACATGCTATAGGGCAGCCTAGTCCCATTAGCAGCTATAATAATTTGTAATGATGACCACCAATAAATGCATTGCTTATTATACTTTGCATTGTACTATTCCACAATAGGGGCAAGAATGCTAACTATATAATATATATACTGTACAGTATATACCCTACCCAATTAAGAGACCTCTCCAACCTAGTGTCTAAATTAGATGGGTAGGGGGCCTAGCCTATCTAATTTAGATGCAGTAACCCTCTGTTCTCTGCGGTGAAATGAAAAATGATAATGCAAGAATCGTTTGCGTGCCTTTGATATATTGTCCTCTCTAGCACCAAAACCCAGCCTCAAGACCTGTACAAATCATGACGATGCTGCCCAACTTAACATCTTTTTTTCAACTTAATATACTGTATATCACTGCTAATAAATGGAAATGTGATAGGTGGTTTATACGCTTACACCCTGCTCTGGCAGCCCCGTGTCTGTTTCTCCAAGCAAAATCACTTCCATCCCTGTGCCCTTCAAAGGGAATGTGCCGCTACTAGACCAATGCCCTTGCAGAGAACCCTGTTCTCACTGCTGCCCCAGTCGGACGGTCAACAAGCAGGAGACAAACACAACCTGAGTGAAGAGAGGAGAAAGGAAGCAGAGGCCCCCCACTACTTACTTCTTATTGACATTTGCCCAGGAATTGTTCATGTCCTCTGTCACCAGATTGACTTTCCTGGTGTCGTCAGCAGAGTAGTCTCTCAGCAGCTTGCGTGCAAGGTCATTCGCCACGTCTATGTTGATCTGCCACTGGCGAAGCTCCTTGACAAATTGCTGGAAAAGCACATTGTTTGACAAATATCACTCCACTGTGACGAAGCTACAATCTAAAGAGTAAGTACACACACAAACCGTCAACGCTCATACCTGTTCTTCAAATATGCAGCATAGCACCTATGATCTTGGTTGTTTCATCATTTCAGTGTCTTGTTTTCTAATTTAAATATATACATTAAATGCACATTAATGATGCAGCTTCCACCTTGTACTGGACACTGAATCTGACAAGTTTCACCAATAGAATAGTCCAGAGCAAAGACAGTGTGACTGTTGAAAACGCTCTTGCAACCACAGACAACCCTACAGTTGTCATCTTTGAAAGAAATAAGCTCAACTGTTCAGATAAAAAAAGGTCTTTCCAGTAAGACTTTATGATCTTGAAGAGCATCAGAGGAAAAGTATAATTACATCAGGTCAAATTAATATTATTATTATAAACTGAAATGGCAACATCTGCTTTTACTGTAAAATACATTTTTTATGCTACTTATTCAATTAGTGCCACCTACTGGATTTTAGTAATAATATTTATTGATAGTGTTTTATATTTAATCCTTCATAAAGTCAGGAGACTTTCATATTTACATTAATAGCCAAGTGAGTGTCCATTTACACAGCAGAGCCATTTTACTGAAGTACCTTGCTCAAAGGTACAGTAATAGCATCTCCAATTGTCCATTTTCCAGAACACTAACCACTTCTCTACACTAGTACTTCAGCAACTTGTGACCACCACATGTCAGTTCATCACAAACTATGAAGAAAGAGAACAAATCCCAGCAACACACTGTTTATTTTGAAGGAAAAAAAAAAACACCGGCACCGCAGGATAAAGTTTAGACCAAGGCCAGTTTCTCTGCTTTGCTCAGATATCCATGAAAAATAATTTTAGCTGTGGAGATTGTAAATTAAATGAAGGCAAGTCAGTGCTCTTACTGTCCAAAAGCACACTTTGTCATTAACCTTTGTTCATGGCACAAATCAGCCTTTTTAGAAACCACACATTCAGACAAGTCAGTTCATAGAAAGTTTAAATTCTCTGCTGGGGCAGAAGTTTTAAAAAATATCTATAGTATTTATTTGCAATACAGTTTTGTTCTTCCATAAACCCTTTGGAGCCCACTTGTGTATTTACAGGAATCCCTAAGGGTAGCACATCACATTGTGAAAAATCTACTTCAGGGTTTGCTCAAGATTTGAAGAGAGCTGAAAAGATAAGACAGAAACATCGAGTCTTCTGTGTAATTTCCTTCAGGGAAGGTTTAATAAAATGTGAATAATCCATGCACCATGTCATGCTACCTCATTCTCACATAAAAAGTGTATACTTCACACTTTTTGATACGTTTGTTTCTGAAGTATTTCTACACAATTACCTGAATGTAAGAAAAAACAAAAAATAAATGATTGATGTGTTTTGAAAATCTTTGTAACATATTATTCAAACAGAAGACCACATGCACTTTTTCTAATGTGGGAATTTCACTGACTAGTCATTCGGTAACTGTCCAACTTGTGATTCTTATTGAATTTAAAAAAGGTTGAAAGCAACTCTTTCGACAGCTTCAAGAATTAAGACCCAAACTCGTGAGGAAACCAGTTCATTGGCTAAATATGAGCAATGCAATAACCCGGAAAGGAAAAAAAAACAATGAAGTATTTGTCATTGTCACTTTTTTTAAAAGGTTAGTGTTTAAAGAGTGGCTGCTTACATGTCCCTCTCTTTTCTCAGATTAAAAACTGAGTGTTGCAATTAATGTCTTATAGGCCATTCTATTAAAGGTCCATTATTTTCTGTCCTACATGACTTGATGTAATGGATTTTTATAATTAAACTAATGACTAGTGTTTCTTTTTTTCTTCTTTACTTTCAGGCCCCATTTATTTCCAAGCTCCATCTGAATAATCAAAATGGCATTCAAAGTACTTCATTACCTTAATTTCATTGTGACATTCCACCAAACGCTCCCTCTCTACCTTGGCCTTGTCATCCCCCGAATTTACAGACTATATTAAGCGACTTTGAAATTGAAATGCATGCATTCACTTCACCGCTTATGTTTATTTCTAATTTTCTTTAATCAACAGACACTTGCAAAGTTATTAGTCTGTGAGCGAAGACAATTAAATCACTTAATTAAAAAACAAGTAAGCAAATGCGACTAGCGCATTTTGTTTAGACTAATGCTTCAACTAACCCTTCCAAAATCACATTCATTTAAACTGTGGTGTTGCTTTACAGTCACACACTGGTAGTCAGAAGGTTTATTTTAGAATTTGTTGAGTTAATTACTAAAACCTAAATGGTGACCCACTAGACTCAAAATATCCCCAGACATTTAAAATTGCCCCAGAATTTTCATTACAACTTGTGAGTACAAGAAAAGACATGTGGCATTATTCATGGCTGTAGTCAGTCCTATTAGAAAATGTACAGCACTAATCCTGAGAACGTTATGGGGAGCCATTTAAACTTCTTAAATCTTGATATTCACAATATTATTTCATAGATGGCTATACTGTATGTTTGTGATCAAGACAAATACAAAAAAGTCTTTACTGGTGGAGATGTAATGCATTCTGCTGTGCTCATCTGCAGAATAATGTTTAGTATCTACTGACCTACTGTGTAATATTTGTGAATGGACACTACAAAAGCAAATACTACTAAACTGCAAAAGCAAATACCTAGACACTGGCAGGATTTAACAATGTCTCAACCTTGATTCTGTAAAGTTCTGATACTAATAAAATGCAGAGAAGATAAATATTTGATATTCTAGATTTAATTCCTGTTTTGCAGGTGCAACATTTATTTTATAAAAAGAGAAATGTTCTCCTATCTCACTGACTTTCTTGAGAGTTTTAATTTTACAACCAAGAGTTTTGGAGGGGGGGTGATTTATTCTTAAATCAACTCAATTTTAATTAGTTTTCTAAACATTTTATTGTTTGCTTCAGTAAGTATTATAGTATCAGAGGTAAAAATACAGTTTTTCTCTGAAAGCGCGTGGGACAGGGATGAGAAGAAATAAAGATACAGATTGTTTTGTGCTTAGTAAGGATTAATCCTCATTCTGGGACTGAAGACACGTTTATGCTTTGAGTTTGCTGCAGGGATTACAGTCTCTGTTAGTTAAGGCTGCATTCGGTCTTCAAGATTTAAATGAGAAGATTTGGGCCTCAGCAGCAGTGGTTTGATACGTTTTAATAAATGAGGGTGAAAGGAGCTGCAGGAATGAAAACTGTACTACCTTACCGCAGAGTTTCTGGAAATCATTTTCTATTATCATTAGTGGAAATCTGTTCCCTGTATATTGCTTCCATACCAGGTGACTGTACTGTAAATGTCATTTCTGGTCATTTCTTTGCCTCGAGTCAAAACACACGCTGAAATAACACCTCAACACTACAAGAATGAGGGAAACTATCCATGGTCAGGTCAGAGCTTGTAAGTTTGCCAAACAGATACTGTACACCTCAAATACAGTGTCAACTGGGATGCCATTTCTTGACGTTTTTACATCTCATTTCTCTAAAGCTTCTAAGGGAAATCTGATGTCTACAATAACTCATTTATCTGTGGTAATGTTCGCCTATTCACCATGCACTAAAGCTGCTTGAGACAGAATAGAAACGCACCCCCAATCACACACTGTAATTAACACAATCATACGCTGCCCAGGGGCCTGCTCCTGCTAGGAAAATATGTGTTGATTTTGCTCTTCTCATTTCCAGCTATTTATCACTAGGAAGAACTCAAGAATTAAGTGCATTGAAAGGTTTATAAGGTGTTTTAGCCATAGTAAGTCTGGTTTAACCTCCTCGGCTGAGGGCTGACCTCCTGGCCAGAGGACGAGGAGGCTGGGACCCCCCTGCAGAGTGAGGAGAGAGCAAGGGGCAGCTGGAGAGGAGGAGATGCATGCCAGGAAGAGAGGATCACGTACGGTATGTATAGATTTTTGTATGTGAGGAAATGGCATCAGGAATGCTGGCAAATGATCAACAGATGTGGCTGATTGAACTAGCCTGTTGTCACCCCTCCTGAACTTTCACTCTAAACTCCATTCGAGGTCAAAGTATTGCTGATCGCCTGCAGCTTACCTTCAGGTCTGCGTTCTGCCTCTTGAGGGCCTCCACGGTGTAGGATATGTCCTTCCACGACTCCAGCCTGGCCGTGGCTCTCTGTAGCAGGGGCGCGGCCTCCTGCTTTGCTTCCAGCCACTGGCTGGAGTCCTTCAGCATGTCCTGCAGCTGCAGCCTTCGGCCCTGCAGTGCCCCCTGCACTTCCTCCCACTGCGCCTGGACCTTGTCAACTGCACGGGGGAGAAAACCAACAGGGAGGCCCCCTTAGACACCACTCACTGCTGCTCCGGCACTGAGGAGCCGGGGTCTGTCAGCAGGGTCTTGAGTAAAGGAACACGAAAGGAATTAACTGGCCGATCCAAATGCCAAAAAAAAAAACCCACCACATACTCTATATAAATGAGCCACTGCGTCTGAACGCATACTTCCTTGTGCATGGATGGTAAATAAAGAAATGTCACGTAAACAATGTGTCACGATATTAGTTCCCCCTCCTTAAGGGTGCTCCAGCCCTTTCACTTAAGACTTCATTCTCTGCACCTGTTTCCCATTCCCAGCCCACCTTAAAAGCCAGGCGCTGACGCTCTTCCGGGCTCTGCATCTGATTTCCATATCGTGCGAGTCCGGGACCTGGAAGCGCCTGGTCCCGTTAAGGTTTTAACTCTGTTCCTGTTCCCCGTCCGCCGGTTCCGACCCGGCCTACGTGGTTTTTAATTCTTTGTTCTGATGGGTCTCCTGGTTTTGGACTTACTCTTGCGTTTTGGATATTCCCTAAGGACTACTCTCTCGGATTGTTCGCCTCGGCCACGCCTCCCCCGTGCACCAGCGCACCTTGGACACGCCCCCCTGTCTTCAGCCCCGTTTTCCTGCATGACGTTTCCCCAGTGTTTCCCCACTCCGTCGGACTGTGTCGTCCGCATAGGGTCCGGAAAGAACTGTTCGTTACAGAATTCAGAGCCAACACCTGGACCCTGCGGACAGCACCCTGGCAGCCCGGATTCCATCGGGTTTTTTTTTTCTCTCCCCTTTTTTTTTCTTAGGGCTTCGGAGCCGCCCTGAAAAGGAGGGGCGTACTGTCGGACTTTGTCGTCCGCATAGGGCCCGGAAAGAACTGTTCGTTACACAATGCTCACGTGACATGATGCTTATCTATTGATAAAGAGGATAACCCCGGCTCCCTCATAAAGAGATTTTTGTTTTTTTTTCATCATAGACATCGATTTCGAACAGCTTATGACAAGGCGTGAACCACTCTGACAAGAGATGAAGGAGGTGTCATTCTTTGCGCCGTGTGGTCTTAGAACACAAACAGCGGTGCCTTTCCGCCAGGTGGAAAACTTGTCATGATCATAATCCCTCCTCTTTAGGGTGCTTCGGCTCTTTTGTATTTTAGATCATTATGTGCACCTGCCCTCTCTTTGTCCCTCCTTATTTAAGCCGGGTGCTCTCGATACTCCGGGCTCTGCATTGGAAGACGGACGCCCGGAGGCCCGCCTACCATCGAGTCGGCCTACAGTACGTCCTCAGCTTGAAGGCTTAGGCTTCCTAACAGCGTCCTGACCAGCTGAGTCCGGGGCTCAGAGTGCCTGGCCTCGTCACTCTATTTTTAACTTCCTGGTTCCATGTCCCCATTCCTTGTTTTTCCTCTTGTCTTTGTCTCGGATGGACCTCCCGGTTTTTGGATATTGGACTCTGCCCTGGTTTCCCTATTTGAACTGTTTTGGAGTCGTCTGCCTGCGCCGCGCCCCCCCAGAGCACCGGATCACCATCAACACGCTCCCCTGTCAACCCGTCCTGATCCTCATCGTCTCCTCCCTGTTGTCCTTCTCCACTTACTTCCAGATTATACCATCTGCATAGGGTCCTAAACTACGCATCGTGACAAAACTGGCACTACATTTTCATATCTTTCAGCTCATCATATCCAAGAAACATCACTTTAAGGCCAACCTCGGGGTTTTCAATTATCTTTCAGGATGTTTCCAACTTAAATGAGCTGGAATGTCTTTTACAAAAAGCCAAATTGTAAACTGCATGATTACAAGCTAGTCGAATAGAAGATAACAATCTCTACCTACATAATTATTATTATGTTGAGCATCACACCTTTCACCTTGGTGGTACTGTGCCAGTGGTGCACTATGCCATCCAAGCTCTCAAGTAAAACTAACTAGTACTTGTTTTTAGAGAAGAGCGAATACTGGATCTGTACGAACAGCACCCAGGCTATAACACCCATTCTGTACTCCAAACAATGACCTTCCTTCTGATAATCCACTTGTCAGCCCCATTAAGACCTTTTTTCTTTTAGATTCATACTCCTGAACTGTACTCACGATTATGGGAGATTGCTCTGTGGTTTTAATTGGCACATAACTAAAAAATTAGAATGTGTTTTTCAGGGCTCTATGGAGACATCACCTCTGAAAGGATGCATCTAAACAGATTTATTTTGAAGGTATTTTACCTTTATTATACCTGACACATGCATAATTACTCCTGAGTTTATAGCTACCCCCTTCTCCTTATTAAAGGTCTTCTGGCACTGCTGTTGCTGGTTAACACATTTATTTCCCTCTTTCCTCTAATTAAATAACATGCCCAGAGCATTCATTATATAAAACCTGTAAATTGGTTGAACTAATGAACTAATTAAGGTTTTCTGAAGCAAAGGGGTGAATACTTATGCAATCAACATATTTTAGTTTGTGATGTTCCATTGCTGCTTTTGCTGACATTTAACAATTTTCAGTTTCAGCACTCAAATCCTGATTAAGAACTTTATAAAAATACATATACTGTACATCATTCGAAATGAAATAAAATGGGACCTTACTGGAGAAACATGAATACTTTGGCAAGGTACTGTAAGCAAAACAGCTTAATATAATAAAGCATTTCATGCAGATTAGAGGAATATCATCATAAAATGGGAACTGTAGAAAGCACCAAAATGGTCTCAAACCAAGAAGCAATGCTGAAAACATATTTAAAATGAAGAAAAAAAATTGCACAAAACACATTTATGGTAATTCCATGAAAAGATGGTACCACGATTAGAAAATAATTTAGAAAAATACTGGATTCAAGGTGAGATACAAAGTAAAAGCTGGACAACAAACAACTTGACTTGACAGAGATAACCATAGCCAGGTTAAAGAATGTAACCTCACACTCCAGTGTGCTATTGGAAACTCCTAAATGCTAACTTGGCTCTGGGAAAACGTATTCCCACTGTAAAAGAGCACCAGGCTTAATTGCTGACATTTCTCATATCTGCAAATCTTTTGCTTAAATAATCTCAAATTTCTCAGAAATCATAGCCTTGCTGTAACATTCCCCTGCTGTTCAGAGACTCTGCTGGGCACACTGAGAGCAGTAACTGATAGAAAGAAAAATATCCTGAGCCATTAGAATTAATTATGGATTTGCTTTGTCAATGGGATGCCAATGTTTCCAGTTTTAAATCCCCAGGTTTGCATCCTCACAGCACAAAGGTCTCTTATTTTGGTTGACATTGTGTGTCGCTGTGAATATATTGTACTCTGTGGTTCACGGTTGTACAATGCATAAAATACAAAGATGTTGTGGGGATGTTGGATGAGTGGATTACTTTAGGTATGGAAAAAATATTCTAGACAATCTCCAGGGGCATTTGGCAAACAAAAGCCAGCTTTGCTTGAAACTAATAAACAAATATATTGTAGTCTCCAGGTCAGGAAGATTCGGAATGAATGATTCTTGAGAAAAGCTCTGTATGATGCCTCCACATGTCTGGGTATGGTGTTTTTTGTCAGGCTTTATTGAGCATCCCCACAACTTTGGCTTTCAGCATTTACACCTTTTCAGATTTGCATCTTCATTGCTATATGTCTTTGCTTGCTTGATCCCCATTGTACGATAAAGCAGCCACATCACTCTGCAACTCACAGCTGTCAGCCCACTGAAGCTCAGCAGGTGCGAGCCTGGTCAGTACCTGGATAGGAGACCTCCTGGGAAAAACTAAGGTTGCTGCTGGAAGAGGTGTTAGTGGGGCCAGCAGGGGGCGCTCACCCTGCGGTCCATGTGGGTCTTATTTCCCCAGTATAGTGAGAGGGACACTATACTGTAAACAGGCGCCGTCCTTCGGATGAGACGTAAAACCAAGGTCCTGACTCTCTGTGGTCATTAAAAATCCCAGGGCGCTTCACCCCAGTGTCCTGGCCACATTTCTCATGGTCCTTATCAATCATGGCCTCCTAATAATTGCCATCTATGAATTGGCATCATCATTCTGTTCTCCTCCCCACTAATAGCTGATGTGTGGTGAGCGTTCTGGCGCACTATGGCTGCTGTTGCATTATCCAGGTGGGGCTGCACATTGGTGGTAGTGGAGTGGATCCCCATTACCTGTAAAGCGCTTTGAGTGGAGTGTCCAGAAAAGCACTATATAAGTGTAAGCAATTGTTGTTATTATTATTATTAAAGTGCTGTCTCATTCCTCATTCTTCTCCTGATCTGAAACTCAGCAGCCCAAAGAGAAAAACAAATCACAGAATTACTTGTTAACCTATCCTTTCACCAAATGCAATCTTTTTGGGATGAAGAAATTCAACACATGCAATTGGTGGAAAGTTTGAGGAATACCTCTCCTAACAAGTGAAGGCACCTGGAGATTTGGAGGAAGCTTCATGACAGACAAGTAGATTTGGATACCCAAGTTGTGTGTCAGAGTTTCCATTACGCAAAGGACATCAGAAGAGACTGAGGTGCAGACAATGATGACATCCTAAATACGACCTTCAGGATTGTATATTCAAAACTGAACTATAAAGGGAGACATTAGCTAAACCACACAATGCAAGGCCAAAGTGTAATATAACCAGGATACCAGGGTTAGCAGCCCTGCTCTTATGATCAGAGCCATGGGATCTTTATTGACTAAGTCTCCAGTTTATCATGCCCCATGCAAAGAATGGCGCCTCCTACAGGACAGTGTTCACAGACATAGACAGTGCTCCCATACTGGGACTTTGGGTTGGAAATTCTTGACTGTATGGCAGACAAGTACAGATGGACAACAACAAGTCTTTTAAAAAAACATTGATCTGTGCACACAGAAGTATTTAACTACTTTTTTAGTGTACTCTCGAACACCAGTTTACGTCACTTTGTTTAACTTTGTGTTAGACACAGCACTGAAAGCACAGGATGCTGCAGAAATGTTATTCTGTAACAAAACTTTAACTTAAGTCAACCAGACAACATTTATATGCGTATGACCTACTGAACAGTTGTTTGTGGGAGAGAACGAATGCATTGTATTGCTAAAAAGGTTTTACACCAGGAACAAGACATAGAAATGGAAGTGCTGAGACATCATTGCTGGATGGCTTCCATCTAGCAAAAATAATGTAACCCTTAAAACTGCACATCCTAGTCATGTGTTGTCATGATTAGCTCCAGCTGCTTCGAGGCTCTACTCCTGTTCTGTCTCAGTGAGACAGTTCTTTGGAAGAACCTGCGCCCTGTTCTCAACAAACACAAAAAGACAACCCTAAAGCCCAATAAATCTCTCATTTGTTAAGATTAAGTTTATTAGGAAGAAAGTGCATGCAAAATTTGATTTGTCAAAATAAACAATTCCCAGAAGAAAAATCGTAACAGGATATTTTATTAAAAGCCTACAGTGTATTAATAATAAATTGTGTTTCTTGTTGGATTTCTCATATCAATCTCCAGGGGAAAGCGCAGTTTAATAGCGCTGACTTGACAGAGTCTACTTTGCTAAGGTATTAATTTCCTTGCATGCATGTGTCTCTTTTTCTCTCCATCTATCATTTTTAACCCAGTGCAAGATCTAAACATTTCTTGGTACGAGAAAACATTGCAGTAGACTGTTAATGCTCGCAGACAAGAACCACTTGTGATTTTCTCCATTTATTGAAAGAAAGGCACCTTTTTGAAATATGTGCATCAATGCATGCATTCAAAGCAATACAAATACATTAAGATGTGCTGAGTGTGAGAAAAGGGAAAGGATACTGATACCATATCCTTGAAAAATACTTTTAAAATAAACATGCTTTTACTTAGCTTAACATGTTGGTTAGACATATGTTAATGGTAACAAAACCCAGTTGATAGTTGCTGTATAAACCTATTTATCAGAAAACCATTAGCAGTAACAATGTGATGTAATACATATAGCTGCAATATTTATTCAGAATTTAAAATTCCAGATCATTTTCTGTTCCTGCATGGATATTTTCTGATTCTGCAAAATTCCTTTAAAGCTACAGTAGAATCTTAATTCACCTATACAGTACATGTATGTATTAAAAACAGAAAGAACAGCTAAATGAATAAAATAGGAATTAATTTTGTCCTCCAAAAGATACCACTCAGTTGCACCTTGAGATCAGAAACAAATTAATCGATTGTACAAAGAGACATGCACGCTGATTATATCGTCAACAAAATTCCATTATTATTCTGCTGCTGCATTCTTGTGATGACTACAAAATAAGTACAATCCTTCACCAGAGGGAGTTATCATCCCCTAGAGCTAAATGTTTACAGAAAAGCATAGCACTTGTCCGCACCATACTAGATCAAAGCGAGAAGCCAACTTATTAACTAATAATGATCATGCGTAAGATCTCCAAAAGCTGATCCCATGGTCGTTAGACGGCAAAATTCTTCTCCTGCTCCTCAGATTTGTATTTGATCACTGCCGATATGTTTTTAAATTGATCAATTTTCACCTACTGTATTCCCAACTTCATCTCACCATTCCAGTTTAAGTTGGGCTCTTGACCCGGGCTCTTGGATGCACAGTTTGCCTCCTCTTTGTTCCCACTTTCCACCCTCTTCCACACATCATGTCACCTATTCACTCTTTTTTAATGATTGCTATTGGCCTAATGTTTTCCAGAGGGACGATTTTTTTGAAGCCACAATTATACATCAGGTTGGTCTATTTTATTACCAGGATCAATGACTCGACGACCTTAACAAATCGAGTCACTCAGCAGCTTACTCTAAATTAATTCACTTTTCATTGGCATTAGACAAAGTTTAAATCACCACTCTTGAAATAATAACACAGCCAAAACCGCTAAAAGCCTGACTGAAAAGGTGGGGCAAAATGAAAATCAAAGAGTCTGCTTTTAAAAGATCTATGTACTGTAAAAATTCTGAAGTAACTCTGAGAAAGAAATGCCATATTTGATTTTGGTTTTACATAGTCTCTAGACATAAAAAAGGTATGTAGACTTGATCTTATGACAAGTGACAATAAAAAATAAATGACAAGCAATAAATACACCCTAATAGTTCGGCTGTAAGCTTACATTATTGGAATTCTGACACGAAGTGTGGTTTTTTAGTTCAACTAAATGACCTCACATACTGGATACACAGACAAAAAAGGGAAAAGTTCCAAAAGCAATAAGTCTTGCTGTCAAAAGCGATAAAATTAGACCTTATTTTTCATTGAAGCTTCTTGCCAACACCTTGTGTGTCTAAACTTTCACTATATGGGTACTTATCTATCAGGCTTTGCCCACACAGAAAGTCAAGGTTGATTGATTCAGATTCTCTATACAGTTTTACACCACAACCAACAGCAAATAAAACCTTTCAGGCAATAAAGCAATAGAAACTCAGAGATTGCAGAAATAAAAGGGCTAGGTAACAACTGTGTTCACTTTAAAATATCAGACAACACTGTAAATGACATGCTGTAAAACGAACGTTATTGTTAAGCTGCTTATGATGAGAAGGTGTTAAACGTTCAAATGGTAATACCACTATAAAGTGCATACTGTACATAAGCAGCCCACCTGAAGGTGTACTGGAAGTGGCGTATTTGACCATTTCCATGGTGAAATACCCTAATCCTGATGAGGTAAATAAAATTCCAAAATGTCTCCCTTAGGGAGAGGGTGTTATTTTATTTGTCACATTTTCTGCTCATTCACTGATCATCAAGTTATATATGGTTTCTGTGTAAATTGCACATTTCAAGTTTTTAATACCATGTCATTTACAATGTCTTTAAGCAGATACCAAGAATTATTAGTTAAACTATTGAAACATGTAGTATGAATCTTATAACATGAATTATAAATTTTTGGGATCTTTGACACTACATTTCATTAACATGAACCATTAAGTGCAAATAAGAGAACTATTTTACACAGCACTTAAAATCAGTGTTTTTAATTCTTGAGAAACTTCCTTCTCCCTCCATTCTTCATACAGTATGAAAATGAAGCCGCTCATGCTTCTTCTTCACCACAACTTGGCTCTGACCTTTGGTGATTGAAAAGATATAGTTGTTCGATCTCTGTCACTGTAACTCATGCGCTGTTTTGCGGTCATAGGGGAACTAACATGGACTTGCATCCTAGTCTCCTGGAAGTTATCTCGTCACCCTAGAAGCAAAAGAGCTTCAAGAGTCGCGTTTTAGTCACTAGTTACTCCTCCTCCACTAGTTACAGTAGATACTGTATGCTGTGCGGTCAGCGTGTGGCACATTGTTTAGTGCCGAGGTTATTCGTATACAGCAGTACTCACTGCGGTCAGTGATGATGGAGCGGACCTCCTGATTGTTGGTCTTGTTTTTCAGGTTCTGTGCTGCCGTAATCAGATTCTCCAGCTGAGGGCGCCTCTGTTCAAGGTCCTGCAGTGTCGACTGGTGAGAAAGAAGGAGAGGAATGATATTCTTCAGTTAAGAGTTTTATTCTATTTTTTATTTTAATCTCAGTTCTCAGTTCTCGGCCCTTTTGTCTTGTCTAAATGTGTCTAAGTTCAATGCTGATCCTTAATAATGACTAATGTGAAAATGATGTAAATCGTGGTAACAAATGTTTTGATGAAACATTTAAACTCTGCAATCTTAGCTATGCCCTGCTGATTAGCCCTAATAAGGGTCAACTTGTTGTTTGTGGCTGCTGACCTACTGTACTTTACACATGCAATGTGGAATTAGAAATCTATTTCACAGCAACTGCATGCTCCTAAAAGTGTTCCTTGGGATATTTGTCTATAGCCGTATGATATACATATTTCGGACAAGGTTAAATTGCAGAGTCCAAAATAAGTGATTGAAAAAAAAAAGCCATTTCTGAAAAAATATTTCAAAAATATTTTTTAAAAGAGTTCTACACAGTGCTTAGAACTTGATGCACACAAGTTTGATGCTTGTGTGAATGGAAGGACAAGAGACCAACATGATGCTAGATGTCTTGCTTGGATAGGCCAAGGTTGCACAAGCCACCTCCTTGAGATTTGATATGTTTCACAAATTTGATTGCTCTGAGGTAGAGTTTACATGATTTAGTTGCTTACATTGTGGCACCTGACTTAATAATTAAAATATTTTAATTTAAATACATTCCCACTAGTTTAATCGCAGACTAATACACAAAAAATAACCATGCACAGCATGATCCACAATTCTTATCAGTTCTGGGGCTGTCTGTGCAATATTTTGCAAGTTGAATAACAATGTCTTATACTCCCCAAGTTTTAAACATAAATTTCAAAGAAAGCAAAAGGACATTGATTCGTCATTATAATGAATTATGGTTATTGCTCATCAAAGCAAAATGCATTTTCAAGTGTTTGTGTTTGAAGTGTTTCCTCACAATAGGCCCATTCTTCTTCACCCTGGGATGGAAAGAAAAATAACATAAAGGGCCTACCTTATTAAATGGGCAGTAATGTGATCATTAATCAAGAGACTTTAAAGCACGATCATTTTAACCCTCTATACATAAAGCTAGTGAAACAATAAAAGTGATAAACCATGTTTGTTTTACAAAAGAATATTGTGGCCAATATCTATTAACTTCAAACACACAAATATATGCACTTAGATTTTGAAATTCAGATTTAAAGCCCACAATCATTCATCTATACTAGAGAAATGTAACACCCAAAAATTATGTGAAGCAATATAAACATGAAGCAAAGATTTTCCTGTATATACAGGTCCATTGTGGAAGAAGAGTACCCATCTGACTAGAGAGAATAGTTCAAGTGTCTAACTTCCTTTGTAATGGTCTGATTTATGATAATCAGACACACATTGGAATAACAACCAAATACCAGATACTCCAACAACTAGTTTATTTTACTCTAGAGGTCTGACTAGTACTGTAGTATTTAAGGTATTTACTGTAGTCTGATGCTGGGAACATCATAATAAGGACACATGGCACCATCACAGTGGCTGGGCACAACATGACCTCCTGATCAAACATGAAGAAAACACTTTTTACATGTTTCAAATTTCTTTTTACATGGGGATGCTCTGAAATGCAGAGTCTGTTATGGGGTCGATACCAATTTAATTCCAATCCAGTATTTTAACAGCTTAAAGCAATTTTAAAATCTGAAAGCTGTTATCAATTAGATTGTGATTACAAAAATCTGGCAAAAAACTCAGAGGCCAAAGTGCTCTGGGACCAGGAACGGGAACCAATTATCTAAATTACTTAAATTTCAGTACTCATCTGCAACTGACACAATTACATTGTTCTAACCCTTTAAAAATGGTGTTTTAATGATGAGCATACAATAAGTTCAGTTGAAGAGGTCTCATCTATACTGATGCACAACCGAACACAAAAGTCTAAGTGGCTGACTGCACACCTACTGTACATAATCTTTTAAACATTTTCATTAGCAAGAAGATTTGAGTATTATTCTTGCCTTGGATGATAAAATACAGACCTTAAGGACTATGATTTCATAAGACTAGATGCTAAGGGTCTAGCTTCTGAGTTAAAAACACCAAAGTGATCTGGTCAAAAACCTATGTAAATAGACACTCAAAAATGTTGGATTTTAATTCATGAAAGAACCCAAAAAAAAGATGTCCCACTTGAAAAATAAAGATGGCCTGATTGCTAGTGGTGCGACTGAGGCCGGTCTGCCTGTGAGAGAAGTTGCCAGGGGAATGGAAGGCTCTGCTTCAACAACCAGCCAGTTCAGAGCAACCAGGAAATGTTCTCTGTGTGGGAAAAGGCCATCTCCTGGAGGAAAAAGGGTGACCACGCTGGCCTAGGACTATCACCTAATCTGATCTAATTGTGTACGTATTTGCAGACTGCAATGGTTACAGCCTAAGAATTTCAATGAAGAGATGACCCATGTATCAGCAGAACATTACAGCTCATGAAATGGAGCTGCATTTTCATCTGCATGCAAATGATTCTTCCGTTCAGAGGCCATCCCGAAATAACGTGGTGACAGCAGAGAGACACACTTGCCATCTGTGGTTATCAGAAAATCTGAGATGGCAGCAGAGAGTGGTGGAGTTTTTATTCACTGATGAATTTGATTTTGCTCATAACAAAATGACAAATGTAAAGATGTTCTGCTGAGCGTTATTGCTGAAGTGGGGGTGATGTGGGAGATCTACTTTAACACAAGAAAATGCATATTGAGGACTTCATTGCAATTGCTGTTTAGTGATACATTGATAAAATGCTTGATCCCAGATGTTTTTATATATTCCAGCAAGCCAATGTGGAAGGATTTTCCAGCAGGACAGTCCAAGATCACAGTTCTAGGATTACAATGACACAGCTCAAAGGAAACAATGTTGATGTCTTTTCGTTGCCAGATTTAGATAGCTTTGGACGGTCCTGCAATGGAGTACACTTTTAAAAATGCTTTAAGTCTCAGTACCAAACTGCATTGTCTGTGACTAAAGAATAATCTAAAATCTATGGAGCACATTGAAGAGTTATACAGTTGTTGTAGAGACATTTTTATAGCTCAGTAGATTTAAGTTCTTTTCACTGACTAACAATAACTCAAGCAAGTCAATCCCCTCCACTTACGAGTTCATTTTAGTTAAAACCAGTGCAGGGTACTATTTTTTAAAAGAGTTTAAAAAGCTTTTAAAAATTCAAATCCAGTGATGATGCTCAACAGGGCAACAGGGCTTATCCCTGATGAAACGCACATTTTAGCTCATTCATAAAAAAGAAAAGGAAGGAAAAGTAATTAAACTTCAGTTTTATGGTGATGTTTCATAGGTCACAGTGTTTCCCAAGGCAGAAGCGCAAAGATAATTTGTTTGCAGCTGAATGCATGCTGGACCACTTTTGTTTCAGTGTGAAAGCAGACAGCAAAAGGACGCTGCTAATGAGCCGACACTGCTCTGCTCTGGCACAGCACACAGCAAATCTGAGCGTGAATCCACAGATGGCAGTGTGAAATGTCAGTCATTATTTGTATGTCTAGCACATCATATACATTTGCATAGCTATTTAGTATAACACACTTCCAAAGCAATTTTATGACACATTATGTATCCCAAGCTTGGCTGGTGATGAGGATCATGCTGGTATGTTTACAGTAGGTCTCAGTAAGCTTGTGTGGGCTTCTGCTGAACAACAACGTGCAGGAACAGAGTAGTGCAACTGAAGCGACTTTAAAAAAACAACAGCGACATTACAAATGTAAAACTTTAAAGAAGACTTCAGACTGAAAGACTTTCTGATTTAATAATATGAGTGGGGAGCTGCGTCACTATGCAAGCTGCAAAGGAAAAAACAGAAATTAATTCCACTATAAAAAGTAGAGAGAAAGAAGGGAAAACTCCTTGTCACCAGAGCCATTGTATTTTTAGTTTTTCTACTTCATCTTTTAAGAACATATGCTCTGCTCTACCTCTGAATTCAGTCATTCATCAGAAAAAAACATAACATCCATTTAAGTGATCAAGAGTTTAAAAATTTCAGTGACTGAAATTAAATTTAATGTGCAAATTATTTTGCTCCACAGGAAAAAAAAAAGCAACAATTGTGTAAAGTGGTCTAATTAAATTGAAAAATGTGTCTTATTTTTATTGCTACAACAGTTTCTCAAGATTTGACTGGAAACAGCAATTAATTGCAAGATGTTAACAAGTGACCATATAAAAGGTAACAAAAATGAGACGTTTGGCCTATCTACTGTATGTTGTTTGGTTGTGAGCAGCTAATGGATCTTAGAATTTGATTCAGCCTTCTCTTGAATGAAATTAGGGTATCCGTGTTGACAGTATTAACCAAGAAAGCTTGTTTCACACTCATGATATAAAAAATGTCTTCCAGGAATTAGCTTTAAAAGCCAAGTTTCCACTTGTGTTTCCTGGGGTAGATGTTTCATTGTTGACATTGAAGACGTCCAGTGGGTAGACTTTGTAAATCTCTTTGAAAAGTTTTTATACTTGTATTCATATCTACTCGTATTCTTTTCTTTCGAGTTCTTCACATTGATTTTCCTTTCATTCTGACTTCCTTGTATCTGGTCTCTCTGTTCTGGACTATTTTCAGAACAGCAAGATACTTTTTTTAACCAATCCATCTCGTTAGGTGTTAAAAAGAAACTTGAGAGGCAACTTCAAGTAGGTTTCTTTTCACATTGCTTTCCAAAGGTAAATGATGGAGTGTTCCTGACTGAACAGCCGTTGCTGTTGTTGATCTTTTATTGAATTCGGAATTGCCAATTATTTTTGTCATACCCACCCGATCCACAACAGCCAATTAGTTGTGTATTTGTCACAATTTGGCTCTTTTTTACCTTGTTCACTCTATTGTCTAAGTTATTTTAGTGGTATAAAATATAGGAGATTGTCACACATAAATATTTATCATCCTTGAGATGTGGCCTTTTGATTTAATCTGGAACAGA